GTTTCATGTTCATGCACTCACATTTGTCACTTTTTCCATGCTTTGGAAGGTTCATGCTTTGTGCCTTAAACATGAGTCATTGTGTATGCCTTCATGCCTAAGCTTGCAAGCTATCATTTCAGTGTGTTTTTGGGGTTATTTTGCCATGATATAACTCTGATTTTTGTTGGCGAAGCCATCCCATGCTTGGTCTTAGTAGGTGTAGTGTAATCCTCCCTTTTGGCCTTGCATACCATGCTAGCTTATTTTGGCTTTCTTCCATGCATGTTTTAGTCTCATTTTGACATGTTCTAGGACTTTTTTGGGTTGTCTTGGCCATATGTTTTGTGTTTTGTAGAGCTATAGTGCAAGTACCTATGCTAGCTTCAAGCTTTGAGCCCTCTTGCATGCCATACTTGTGTTGTTTGAGTGGTTTGACACCATTCCATACATGATTTCAGAGCTTATAGTGTCGTCACACGTCCATGCTTTTCACTCTTTAAGTGCTCTTAAGAGTTGCATCTTTGTGCCTTAATTCTTGAGCCAATTGGCATACATGCTTGTCTTGCCTTTTCATGCTCTTCATGCCATCGTTTCCGTACTATTGGCCACTGTTATGGGCATGATTGAGGTCTGTCCATATTCGGTCTAAGTCCATTGAGCATGCGGTTTGAATGTTGTTACATGCTTGTTACATTGCCTCATGTTTGCATGCCATTAGCATTGATAGGTTGTTCATGTTGCATTGCATTGCGTGTGCATATGTTGCATTGCATTTAGAATCTTGTGCATGCATTGCATTGTGTTTGGATAGGGTGTTAGTCCAAACACGAGAAACGAGGGACATTTCATACTTGAAGTGATGAAACATGCCTCAATTTTCAGTCGCCGACCCTCTTGATCATGCATGATAGAGGTTAAGGCATTTATGTGTTTTTGTGCATTCATTTTCCATTGACTTGTGCAACTCGACCTCTTTGGCCATCATGCATCGAGATGCATGATTGATGGCTCGAGAGCCGAGCACTATACTCCTTTGAGCTTGAGACATGATAAGGAGTGTGGTTGCGCACACATTTTCTTGCAAATACACTGACATGCCGCTATTAGTGCTCTGTTCCAGCAAAAGGAGAAGTTTGCAGGAAGAAGTGGCCGATCGGCTATCAAGTGTGCCGATCGGCTATCAAAATTGACCGATAGCCTTGAAATTTGGTCGATGACTATGACACATGGCCGATGGCCATTCCTCTTGGCCGACCACCTCTCAGTTTGTCCATGAGGTGGATCAGAAGTATTTTGGAGGTTAGCATGATTTTCAGAAGTCTAAAACAGTGCAAACAAAGGCATCACGAGGCACGGTGGTGGATTTCCCAGAGGACGCGACCAAGCATGCATTATTCATCATTCCAAGGTAGAGCTGTGGCAGCCTGTTTAGTTTCTTACTTATTTGGTTTTGTAATTTAATTAATTTGATTAATTAGTTAAAGTTTTGTAATAGTTAATTAGCTAAGTTAGTTAATTAGTTATTTTGTAATAATTAGTTTAATTAGTGTAGCTAGTTAGCTAAAATTCATTCGGACCCTCCGTCGGCACACTGTTGTAATAAGCGTGCGTGTGTGTGATGCATGTCTTCCAACCCCACGTCTTTCTCCCTTTTATTTAAGAGCTTTTGATGGTTAGTTTTAGGGCATATTTCAATTAGCATACTTATGTTTGCATGCGTGCATCATTCATCTGTCTTGCATGCACCGAGCTCGGCGCACCATACAAATTGCATTGTGTTTTAATTCCTATTTGAATACATGTATCAAGTGTTGCATTCACATGACATCTTAGAATAGCCGAGCCTATCTTAGTTGCATTTTTGCATGTGTTGCATTAGCCATCTCAACATGAACTAGGATCACGCATGATTTCTAACTAGTTCTCTGTTTTGGCTCAGAGTACACTGTGAGTGTTTATGTTTTAGCATACTGCATGAGATATATATGTTGCCATGTTAGCATGCTTGCTATGAGGCTATTTGCTTAACTGATATAACTGCATGAATGACTGTGGATGAAGGCTTCATTGCTTAAGTTGGAACAATTCATCGAAATGCGAGTTTTAAGCCCACTTGAAGTGGCAAATCACCATGTTTTCTAAGCCCACTTGAGGGTGGAAAAATCCGCGTCTTAACCTACTTGCGAGTAGCAATCTTCAAACCGTTTTCAAACAAACGAACATGAAATGTTTTGTTCCAACTTTGGCGATCTAGTCTATACTTGTATACTGTGCGCATCACATAGTAATTCTAGGTTAATAACCAAAATAAGAACACATGTGTTTTCAAAAACAAAATATCATGTTAGTAAAGGCCGATCTTTGATCGGGCGAGCGGGGGTGCTCATTGTATGACCTTCCCCTCTCGTACCCAAGTTCCCGAGCCGAGGTAACTTTGGTGATGACGGACACGTGGCCTTAGGCACGAGTCAGGGTTTCCTAAATTTCCCAAAACAAGACATTTAGGTAGCGACTCTGTATCTGGCAAAGCAGTCCATGTTTGGCACTTCTTTATTAAAATTGATTTTCCAAAACGATTTGCCGGATTTGGACTCTTTGGTGATTTATCAATCTTGCATTGCACTTCGCGAGATTAGATTCAGAACCGTGACATGAGTACGAACTGTAGTAGCTAAGAACAAAACGATTCACGCCCTCACACACGGAGAGCGAAGTTCCGGGCGATCTACAAGTGCACATGATGCACACCATTTGAATGTGTGCACCATAGTGTTTCCCAACATAAATTATGCACTAAACACACGCGCGCGCGCACACGTACATATATATATAATTTTCCTTTTCTCCGTGTCATGCTAAATTTTCTGTTTTATTAATAAATGTGTTGTAATATATTGACGCCTAATAAGTTCTTAAATTTTTAGACACCACATGTATTATTTAGTTTTTAAAAATATAACAAAAAATTTAGAAATGAATATTTTTAAAATGTGAAATTATATAAGACTAAAGTTACATTGAAATTTCCTTTTAAAAGTTTTTTACTTTCAAATTAGAAAAGAGTTAGAAAAGCCTTCTTTCTTTCTTTTTTGACTTTTTATTTTGAGGATTTTAAATTTTTAGCATGTGTATTTACTAAAATTTAATATTAAAAAAATTAAGAGATTTAGATTAATGTTTTAGAGCTACTTTAGATGAAAAATCATTATAGTTTTCTATCCCACAAAGCAATTTTGTAAAAATTTGTTCAAAACAAAGTCAAAAAATAAAATAAAATAAAATAAAATAAATAGTTTAAATTTAATTTTTATCCAAATAGATTAAACAAAAAAAAATGACAATAAAGTGTACATAGGATTACAACCTTGCGTAGGTTTCATTATAAAAAGAAATAATTAATAAATAATTAATTAATTAAAACAATAATGTTAAGAATACAAAAATCAAACACATAACAAAATATAACCCTCTCACAAGGGATAGGTCCCACATATATGTGAGTCCCACATATGTTGGTCCTATCTCTTGTAAGAAGGTTGTGTCACATTCTGTATTTTGTTTCTGTGCACATAAACTTATTCTAATAAAATTGAATGTAGCATAGAAAGAGGGAAAAATGCAAGAATACTCACTACCTGATGAATGAGTAACGAACCCGCTAACATAATTAGATTAATCGATAAGAACACATATCAATCACTCTTGCACACAAACTCCCAAACCATATATTTCCAATCGTACTACATGGTGCATCTAATCACATCCTACTCTCCAAAACTCAAATGCACAGTGTATACACACATATACATTGGTGCTCCCATTACAGTCCTCAACTTTGTTCCTTTTGTCACTACAACACGGGACTTGGGGTTGCTACGCAGTAGCAACTGTTGTGCATCGAAATGACCTATTTCGGATCCATTTTGATAATCTGAACCATTCACATTTTAGAATACATTAAGTAAAACATGTCTGCAAAAAATTAAGTTAATTGGATATCGTTTACCTATTCATCCACTCACATTTATATTTATTTTAATACTTTAAATCACAGTTATTATTTATTTTTGTAGATACAAATGTGAGTGGATGAATGGGTAAACGATGTCCGATTAACTTGATTTTTGGCAAGTATGTTCTACTTGATGTATTCTAAAATGTGAACGGTTCGAATTATCAAAATGGACCCATTTCGATGCACAACAGTTGCTGTTGTGCGGGCCGCGCAGCAGCAACCCCAATTCCTACAACAGCACAAGCCCATGAAAACTTGAAAACCGAAATTGAAGAAGAGGAGGAGAGAAACGGAAAGGTAAATATATGTAAATGAAAGAGTGGAAAGAAGTTTGAGAGAAGGGATTGTGCCTTTGGTGGAGTTTTTTAAAATTCAAAAAATCAACAAAAATAAGGATTGAGTGAGAAGAATAAGCCACGCAAGAAATAGAGTGAATTTATAATTATCAAAAATCAAAAAATTTAATTTAAGACTTTGGAGGTATTAGAGAATTTCTCATTAAAAATCTCATTTTCCTTAATTTATAAATAGATAGGGGCAGGGAAAGACTAGTACACACCCATATGTACCTTTTAACCATAAATAAAATAAATAAATAAATAATGTCATAACTCCATAGTTTCGGAGTCATAAATATAAAAAAATAAAAAATAAAAGTCATAATCAAAAATCACATGAGGTATAACCAAAGATCTCATAAGTCATAACTAAAAAAAAATGATCATAATTAAAGAAGAAAATGAATTTTTCTTTATTTATGTTTTTAACATTAAAAAGCATCTTATAGATATTTTGTTTTGTTTAAGCTCATAATGTTATCATATATCTGAGCCATTGGGCTTCACCATAAAGTCTATTTTGATAATTTAATCAGTTTATTTTTATGCATATGTGAACAGATTATTCATGAAAATAAATAAATTGATCCCATAGTAGTAGTCTTATAATTTTGTCATATTTATTTTTATAAAGGTGGACAATAAAAATGATTTGGAACACTAAACTATCCAACAATCTTGGTAAGCACCAGAATGATACTTGTGGCCTTTGGTGACTTTTTGGCCAAATCTTCAACTACAATATGAGTGAACTTATCATATAGTTTGTCAATGACTTCATCTCCAAACTGGTTTGAGATCATAGACTCTGTGAAGGACCTGATACCCTTGGCATACTTTCCCACTTTAGCCCTCACATCCTTCTCTTGCTTGTCCATAGCATCAAGTGAAAAAGCCTTCATAAGCTTAATTGTGAATGATCCTTCCCTCTCCACTATATCTTGCTCTTCCTCATATGATGGAGAATAGTAAGGCACATTGAACGAGTCTAGCTTATCTTCATCCATCAATCCTTGTTGTCAAGAAATGAATGAAAGACAATCAATAGACCATGCACTTGTCAAGTAATTTGACTAGTAATTATCATGTTTTTTCTAAACATTATATTGGTTGTGTATTTATCCAATAGCAAGGGTGTAAAGGGAAAAAAATGGGACCCCACTTTTGATCAAGGGATCAATGAAGGGATAAACAACACACCATTTATATGATCCGATCATATTTTTCAAAACATAGAATTACAACTAGTATACTTAGCAATATTCTATAAATAATCTATATAATTGGCAAATAACTATCTATTACTTTTAAATAATTTATCTATTCAATTGTTTTTTAAATATTTTCAATAGAACTTCATTTTTAAACAAAATTTGGGATCTAAGGTAACTGCTTTGCTTGCTTATCTTCAAGGTCAACTGTTTGTGTTCCGGAAGTTTGTACTTGTACATGCCTGAAATAAAATCAAAGTACTCTTTATTGCAAATTCATTAAGATTTGAAAAATGTTAAAGACTTCAAAAGTTTTACTAAAATTTCTATCAAATGTCTCACATGAGTGTTGGACCCACACCATATGAGTCTCATGTAAGTCCAACATCGATGTAAGACATTTGATAGAAATTTTGATAATAAGTATAAGATCTCTAGCATTGCTCCTAAGATTTTGTTCATTTTATTTCTCATCACATGAGAAAAAGGAAAGTGTATTCAAGTTGTGTCAATATGAAGTGTCTAAAATGAGCATCAAGTCAAGGTATATTTAATGACAAAAATGATGTTTCAAAAATTAAATTTACCTGTGAAACCAATTCAGCAATGGCCATAGCTAATAGTTCCCACTTGTAGCAACTTTCTATGTTTGAGGGATCATGGGATTGCCTACTGTAACGCCCTCAAAATAAACCCATAATTCATACTTTCATGATACAAGAAATTGACAATGTATTCAAGAGAATAAAATGTACATCTATTTATCAGAGTATTTATTACAAAAGTATTACATGTTGACAACAAAAGTAAATGCCCTACGGGCTTACAACTTTCCAAGCCAACACTTGGTTACAAAAAAAAGAGAGTACTAACTCATACACATTAAGCCCTCGGCTTGAATTTACATGTAACACACAAAAAGGTAAACGACAAAAAGGGATCTTCAGCCTCTAAGCCTCCCAAGCTATGTCCTTGGAGGTGGCATATCACCTGAACCTGAAAATGATGTCCCATATAGGGTAAGCCAATGCCCAGTAGAGATATACTAAACCAAGTATGAGAAATAACTAAAACAATAGCATTTGATATATGGTTGACACTTATAAACCAACTTACAACACTTTTCAATTCAACATCAAGTACATCCATTTTTCATTTCAGTTTCCTTCACTTATACAGTTTCGATTCATAATTATGGCTCAGAACCTGGCCAAACAGTTCAATGAAACTATAACACATATTAAAACACTTCCATACTTCAACACTTCCATATTTCAAGTGATACACAGATTTCCTGGTATTAGTGGCTGTCCATCCTGTCTCCTCCTCAACAGGTTTGAGAGTATCCCTATCCTCTCCTCTCAAACCATGGAGTCATCCCCTATCTCTTCCAAGAATATACATATACAATGTATTTAAACACTTATCATATACAATGATCAATCAATACACACATTTGCTGTATTATTCCAACCGTCATATTCAATGACATATTCCACGTGATTAGTTTCCGTTTTCCCTAATCATTATCATACAATGTTACAACAATCAAGACTATCCTCCACCGATAGCCCAAAGCAGTTATCTCTAAACAGATAATAAATTTATCAACAGATAAAATATCGACATTTTCATAGGTGAGTGATTAAATTATCCAACTACACCATTTACTCCCACAATTTTCCAATATCATGAATTTCACTTCAATTTCACATTTCCCCAAATTAATTATTCAACATAATTAGGGCATTTTTCCCTTTTTCTCAATATTAGTCCAAAGACTCAATTTCATCGATTTAACAACAACAATTTCATTTTTAAATGTCTCATACACACATAGGTTTTAACATTTGAAAACCCCCCTTTTTATAATCTCAAATCAAACCCTAACTTTCTCAAAATGACTAAGCAACACCATCTAATCAAAATGACCAAAATTTATGTTAAAACTCATAGAATAGAGTAGGTTATCCCTACCTTAATTTTCGGAGCTTAAAGGAGAAGAGAGGTGAAACTCAAAGTGCTCCAAATCCACAACTTTTTAGATTAAAGCGAAGCCCTCGCGAAGCTCTACCTTTCTTCCAAAGGGACTAGGGTAGAAGACCACTAGAACTAGATGAAACCCTAGAGAGAAGGTATATAAAGAGAGAAAGAGCAGCTGGTCTAGGGTTTGTATAAAAGAAAATGATGAAAAAGTGAAGTGTAACCCGCTGATGCCAACTGATATATTCGAGACTTACTCGAGCGAAGTAGTGGTCGCTCGAGTGACCAGACACAAAGAAACCTCGCTCGAGCGTAGAAAGCCTCGCTCGAGCCAACAAATCGAAGCTTCAGGTCTGCAACCCAGAAGCATGCTCGAGCGAAGAAAAGCTCGCTCGAGCAAAGAAACCCAAAACATAGACCTCGCTCGCTTGAGCGAAGGAAAGCTCGCTCGAGCGAAGAATTGCAACCTTTAGGTCCAGAACCAGACGCCGACACAGACGTAAGCTCAAGCGCAAGACTTCTCGCTCGAGCCACCAGACACATCACCCAACTCTCGCTCGAGCGAAGGATCTAAAACACAGAGCTCGCTCGAGCGACAAAAGTCTCGCTCGAGCGAAGACACCAAAATCTGGGCAACAATCATTTGTTTCAAAACACTCCCAACCTGATACAAACCTACCCAACACATCCTAAAATTCAAATATAAGGAATTAAAGGACGGAAATGAAACAAATGCAACAATACTCAACCGTGGAACCTAAGTCCAGAATACTGTACATAAAGGGAAAAACCCGGGATCGCTATAGCCTTCCCCCCTTAAAGAATTTCATCCCCAAAATTAAATATAAGCTTCAAAAAAACATGATTTCTCAATTCCCAACAATATTACAATTCAATAACCAACATCTTGACCCATTACCGGTCATCCCATCTCTATTCAAGAGGCAATTCACAACATAATTCAATATGCATTAACAACATGCCTTTCTTTGAAATTCAAAAATTTCCAATATCATATTCCACCATTTCATAACATATTCAATGTTAAAGATATATTTGCATTGCCACAGTACATTCAACATATACAATGCTACATTAACTTTCATTTTCAAGGCATTTACCATAATACTCCCATAAATCGAAATATATACAATGTTTTACAACTTAAGACATATTCAATGCTCTTAAAGTTTATCAATACAACAAAATATTCAACATACGATCATACATCCACAAATAGATTCGAATACTTCTCTCAGACCTCCAACTTGCGTTCCCAAGTGGCTTCCTCAACCCCGTGATGTTTCCACAAAACTTTCACCGAGGGTATCATCTTGCCTCGCAAGACTTGATTCCGCATATCCAAGACCCGAACCGGTCTCTCCTCATACGAGGCATTCTCATCTACCTCTAAGTCAGTCCAATCCAATACATGCAATGGATCCAGCTCGTATTTCCGAAGCATACTAACATGAAACGCGTCGTGCACTCTGGACAACTGCGGCAGCAAAGCTAAATGGTAGGCAACCTCGCCAATCCTCTCAAGGATCTCGAAAGGGCTAATAAATCGAGGGGACAACTTCCCACTCTTACCAAACCTCATCAATCCCCGCCTAGGTGATATTTTCAAAAAAACATGATCACTCACCCCAAATACCAAAGGCCTCCTCCTATGGTAGACATAACACTTTTGACGACTCTTGGCTATAACAAGTCTCTTACAGATAAGCTCAACTTTCTCCGTCGCCTCCTGAACCAACTCCAGGCCCAACAAAGGTGCATCACCCACCTCGGCCCAACAAACTGGAGACCTACACAGTCGGCCATACAAGGCCTCAAACGGTGCCATACCAATACTCGATTGGAAATTGTTGTTGTAGGCAAACTCCACCAAGGGCAAGTGCCTCTCCCACGACCCACTAAAGTCAAGGACAACCTCGAAGCATAGCCTCAAGGATCTATATAGTACGCTCAGACTGCCCGTCAGTCTAAGAATGATATGTCGTGCTAAAGGTCAACCTAGTGCCCAAGGCACTCTGCAAACTCTGCCACAACCTAGCAATAAAACGTGGATCTCTATCTGAGACGATCGACACTGGGATCCCGTGCAATCTCACTATGTCCCGAACATACAACTCGGCAAGATGGTCTACCAAATCTCTCACGCGCATAGGGATAAAGTGCGCCGACTTGGTCAACTGGTCTACAACCACCCAAACAGCATCACTACCCCGTTGAGTCCTCGGAAGACCTACAACGAAGTCCATAGTGATATGCTCCCACTTCCACTCGGCTATAGGCAAGGGTTGCAACAAACCCCCTGGTCTCTGATGCTCGGCCTTCACTTGCTGACAAGTAAGGCACTTAGATACAAAAACTGCCACATCTTTCTTCATACCCCACCACCAAAACTGGCGACCCAAATCACGATACATCTTAGTACCTCCCGGATGCACCGCAAGGAATGAATGGTGAAACTCTCAGAGTACCTCCTCTAGGCAAGACTCCGGCACAAACAAACGGTCTCGGTATCTCACACTCAGGTTAGGATACACAGTCACACCCTTCTCAACCTTCCCACTGGAGATCTTCTCCCGAAGGGATTCTACCTCAAGATCACCTCTCTGTGTCTCTAACACTCGATTCACAAGTGTAGGTTGCACAACTATTGAAAACAAAGCCGCAGACTCAACAGATTCACCCAGAAGCAAATCAAACTCGCCAATTGCACCCAACATCTCCCACTCTCGGATGGCTATACAAGCTACATCACTAATGGATTTCCTGGTAAGGGCATCGGCCACAACATTGGCCTTCCCCGGATGATAATGCAACTCGAAGTCGTAATCCTCAATAAATTCCATCCACCTCCTCTGCCTCAAGTTCAAGTCTTTCTGTGTAAACAGATACTTCAGACTCTTATGATCCGAGAATACCTCGAACCTCTCACCATACAGGTAATGCCTCCAAATCTTCAAGGCAAAAATCACAGCTTCTAACTCTAGGTCATGTGTAGGGTAATTCCTCTCGTGTATTTTCAACTGCCGCGAGCCATAGGCTACCACTTTCCCCTCTTGCATCAACACACAACCCAGACCCTCTCGTGAGGCATCACAATAAATCGTATAGCCCAAACCTCTCTCCAGAATAATCAAAACCGGAGCGGTGGTAAGTCTAACTTTCAGCTCTTGGAACGACTTTTCACACGTCTCACTCCATACAAACTTGACGCCTTTCTGCGTCAATCTAGTCAATGGTGAAGCTAGCTTGGAGAAATCTTTCATAAATCGGTGGTAATACTCAGCTAATCCCAGAAAATTGCGGATCTCAAAAAACACTCTTAGGCTGTGCCCAATCTTGCACTACCTCAATCTTGGATGTATCAACAGACACCCCTTCCCCGGAGACTACATGTCCTAAGAACTTAAACTCTGTTAACCAAAACTCACACTTCCCAAACTTGGCATACAGCCTATGGGCTCTAAGCAACTCAAGCACCACCCTCAAGTGTTCCTCGTGCTCCTCCTCAGAAGGTGAATAAATCAGGATGTCGTCCACGAAAACGACTACAAAACGATCCAAGAATTCCTAGAATATTCGATTCATCAAATCCATAAACACTGTCGGTGCATTGGTGAGCCCAAAAGGCATTACCAGAAACTCATAGTGGTCATACCGCGTACGAAATGCCGTCTTCGGAACATCTTCCTCCCTGACCCTCAATTGATGGTAACCCGATCTCAAGTCTATCTTAAAGAAACAACGGGACCCTTTCAACTGGTCAAACAAATCATCTATACGAGGCATAGGATACTTGTTCTTAACCGTAGCCCGATTCAATTTTCGGTAATCAACGCAAAGTCTCAAAGTCCCATCTTTCTTCTTAGCAAAGAGGGTCAGTGCTCCCCACGGCGAAGTACTAGGGCGAATAAAGCCCTTATCTAGCAATTCCTGGAGTTGAATCTCCAACTCACTCAACTCAGCTGGGGGCAAAATGGTAAGGTGCCATGGAAATCGACGCTGTGCCGGGCACTAAATCAATAGAAAACTCCACCTCTCGATAGGGTGGCAAACTAACAAGATCCTCGGGAAAGACACCCGAGTACTCACAAACCACTTTCGGCAATACAGTCTGGGTCTCATCATACTCACTACTCATACAGCTAGTGAGAAGACAACTAAGCTCACTCCGCCCTCGCGGATCATACACTGGTGGCAAAACACTACCAACCCGATCCTCTAAGAAATGGAAACAATCCCCGCTCAAGGTACATACAATGACCCTCTGGCGGTAACAATCAATAATAGCCCGATATGACAATAACCAATCCATACCCAAAATCACATCAAAACCCGACATAGCCATAACTACAAAAGAAAGTGGAAGCCGGCGGTCGGCGACCTCTATATCACAACCTCTACACCCTTGTTTCAAAATCAATTCACCCCCAACAGGTGATACAACACAAATAGGAGATGCTAACTGTGCCAACTCCAATCCCAAAACAGATGCAAATACAGCAGATATAAAGGAATGGGATGCACCCGTATCAATCAACACATTAGCAACCGAGTTGCAAAACAGAAAGATATCTCTCACAACAGATGGAGCCAGTACAAGATCCTGCGCGGTAACAGCATACACGCGCCCTGTAGGCCCCTGATCTACCTGCTCACCTCTCGGAGCAAAAGTCTGCTATACAGACTGAGACGATGAGACTCAGACTCCCTGATTGGCCCTCGAGGCCTGAACTAACTAAGCTGGCTGATGGCTCTGAGTCTGCCTCAAACCAGATGCACCAGATGTGCCACTCAACTACGGACAAAACCTCTTCAGGTGCCCCGCCTGACCACACTGGTAACAAGAAATCGACTGACCTCTGCCCTAACTATAGCTCTTAGGACGAGCCGAATATGAAGCTGCTCTCTGTACTCTTCCCCTCTGCGGGCAAGCTGGAGACTTGTGGCCCAGCTGGCCACACTTGTAACAAGTAACGTCTCTTTGACTGCCTTTCCCAGAACCTGAACTCGGCACTGGAAAGGTAGATCTCAAAAAAGCACCCTGGGACTGCTGAGGGTTAGAACCCCTCTGCCTCCTACCGTCCCCCTGGCCATCCTGACTCCTCTTGGAGCCCCTCAACCTTTCCTCCTCCTCCTCGTGCATAATAATCTCCATATGGGCCGCAACATCCACAAGCCGTCCATACTCCCGAGTCATGGACCCAGCAATCCTAACCTTGAGTCTGTGCCTCAACTTCCTTTCGAACTCCAGACAACGGCGTTCCCCAGACGCCACTAGCTCAGGTGCAAACCTAGACAAGCTAGTAAATGCGGCCTCAAACTCGGCCACTGATGTACTCAGCTGCTTGAGCTAACAAAACTGATCCCTCAACTTCTCCCTGACAGCGGGAGACAGAAACTTCTCCTGAAAAGAATCAACGAAAGCCTCCCAAGTCCCTCCAATACGACCTCGCACAAACTTCCACCACTGACCCGCGTCTTCCTTCAGCTGGAAGGACGCCAAGGTCACATTCAAAGCCCCGTCTTCGATGCCAAGCATCTCAAACGTCTTCGTCATCTACTCAAGCCATGGAGTACATCCCCTATCTCCTCCCAAACAATATACATATACAATGTATTTAAACACTTATCATATACCATGATCAATCAATACACACATTTGCTGTATTATTCCAACCGTCATATTCAATGGCATATTCAATGTGATTAGTTTCAGTTTTCCCTAATCATCACACAATGTCTACAACAATCAAGACTATTCTCCACCGATAGCCCAAAGCAGTTATCTCTAAACAGATAATAAATTTATCAATAGATAAAATATCGACATTTTCATAGGTGAGTGATTAAATTATCCAACTACACCATTTACTCCCACAATTTTCCAATATCATGAATTTCACTTCAATTTCACATTTTCCTAAATTAATTATTCAATTAATTATTCAACATAATTAGGGAATTTTTCCCTTTTTCTCAATATTAGCCCAAAGGCTCAATTTCATCGATTTAACAACAACAATTTCATTTTTTAATGTCTCATACACACATAGGTTTTAACATTTGAAACCCTCTTTTTTATAATCTCAAATCAAACCCTAACTTTCTCAAAATGACTAAGCAACACCATCTAATCAAATTGACCAAAATTTATGTTAAAACTCATAGAATAGAGTAGGTTATCCCTACCTTAATTTTCGGAGCTTAAAGGAGAAGAGAGGTGAAACTCAAAGTGCTCCAAATCCACAACTTTTTAGATTAAAGCGAAGCCCTCGTGAAGCTCTACCTTTCTTCCAAAGGGACTAGGGTAGAAGACCACTAGAACTAGATGAAACCCTAAAGAGAAGGTATATAAAGAGAGAAAGAGCAGTTGGTCTAGGGTTTTTATAAATGAAGATGATGAAAAAGGGAAGTGTAACCCGCTGCTGCCAACTGATATATTCAAGGCTCACTCGAGCGAAGGAGTGGTCGCTCGAGCGACCAGACACAAAGAAACCTCACTCGAGCATAGAAAGCCTCACTCGAACCAACAAATCGAAGGTTCAGGTCTGCAACCCAGAAGCATGCTCGAGCGAAGAAAAGCTCGCTCGAGCGAAGAAACCCAAAACATAGACCTCATTCACTCAAGCGAAGGAAAGCTCGCTCGAGTGAAGAATTGCAACCTTCAGGTCCAGAACCAGATGTAGACGCAAGCTCGAGCACAAGACTTCTCGTTCGAGCCACCAGACACATCGCCCAACTCTTGTTCGAGCAAAGGATCTAAAACACAGAGCTCGCTCGAGCGACAAAAGTCTCGCTCGAGCGAAGACACCAAGCAGTAACCATTTGTTTCAAAACACTCCCAACCTGATACAAACCTGCCCAACACATCCTAAAATTCAAATATAAGGAATTAAAGGACGGAAATGAAACAAATGCAACAATACTCAACCGCGGAACCTAAGTCCATAATACTGTACATAAAGAGGAAAACCCGGGATCGCTATACCTACCTTGAAGTATTAAGACCATATAACCATTTGGAACCACCTCTTGAGATCTAGAGTTGAGAAACATTGTGAAATCTTCATGGAATTGAGAAAGGTTGGCTTCTCTTACAACAGGAATGTAGCACATGTATCTTTCAAATCTTTTGGGAAAGTGTATTCGAATCCTTTATTTTTATTTTGAAAATCTTTGGTGTTGTTGTACATTGGTTTTGGAGGAGTATAATCCGATTTAAACTTGTTGGGTTTGGTTGTTCACACTTACTCTTGTCAAAAGTTCCTTGGAGACTTGGAAATTCTATTCTAGAGTCGACACTAGCCTTCCTAAGGGTCGACCATTACCTGTTGGTGAAGTTTCTGGGAGCGTTGCTGGAAGATAGGGTAGACACCAGATTGGGAGAGGGTCGACCCTCTTATGTCTATGTGTTAGTTGCTGGAAGATAGGGTAGACACCATACTGGGAGAGGGTCGACCCTCTTATGTCTGTGTGTTAGTTGCTGGAAGATAGGGTAGACACCAGATTGGGAGAGGGTCGACCCTTTTATGTCTGTGTGTTGGTTGCTGGAAGATAGGGTCGACCCCTGCATGTTTTTTTCAGATTTTTGAGGTCCGAATAGGCCCTATCTAAGGGGGGTTTTGGGCCTATTATTTTATTTGACCTTTGGGCTTTTTCTCACTACTATAAATTGGTCCAAACCTTTTTTCACCCATGATTTTCCTTCCCTTCTTCCTCGTAAACCGTGATTTCTCTCTTCTCTTTCTAAACCCAAACTTTTTCACTTAAATTTCTAGATCTACTCACCTATAGTGATTTTTTCACTTTGCTCCTTTGAGATAAAGTGTAGAGCTTGTCAAGGGCTTCGTTTTGATCGAGGCAAAACGTGGTTTCATCGCCATCGAATTTTGAGCTTTCTCTCTTCTCTCTCATCTATGCTTGAGGTAGGGATATTATACTCTTTAATATGAGCTTTAACCTAGATATTTGTCATTTTGTATAAATGGTGGGATTTGGGAAGATTTTGGTAAAAGTTAAGGTTTGGGTTCTAAACTAAAGGGGTTTTTCATGTTGATTTACAAAATAACCTTGAGGGTTTGTGTATGATGTTCTTTATTGTTAAAATGGTGAGGTTTGGACTTATGGGTTGATATTTTGGAAAAAATGAGAAATTTTGCCCTAAGTTGAGTTGAAATAACTATTTATGTAAATAATGAAATTGGTTTGGAAATAATGAAATTGGGTGAAATGTGATTGAATGGTGTAGTTTGGTTTTATGGAATTTGATAAATTATGTATTGATAGATTTATTTATCTGTTTAGATATATCTGTTTTGGGCTATCAGTGGAGGATAGTTATGATTGTTGTAGAAACTGCATGAGAATTAGGATGATTGAAACTAATCAATTAAATTATGTCATTGAATATAACAGTTTGATTAAACCATTGAATATGTGTTTTGATTAGTCATTGTATATGACAAAGTGTTTAAATACATTGCATATGTAACTTTGTTTGGGAGGAGATAGGGGATGTACTTCATTGTTTGAGAAGTGATAGGGGATGGACTCCATTGATAATTAAGTTGGCCGGAGTGTCCAGGGTGAAAGTCCCGAAATCTTAAATATTTATGGATGTCAGTTCCCTCGGACGTGGTTCTGTAAAATGGCAAGAAATAGAAGTGTTGGATTGATGAATGTCATGAATTGTGAACCATTGAGTTGTAGTCTCATATTGGTTGCTTTGATAATAATGAATTTGGTTAATTGATTTATCCGGAATGGAAGAATGGAAATGAATTGAGATATTGGCTATCTATGTTGAATGACCTTGAAAAGAATATGTATTGGTTAAGAATGTTGTACATTTATCTAATGCTCATATTTTCGTTAATTCTCACATATTGTTTAGTATATCTCTACTGGGTTTTGGCTTACTCTACTTGGGAAACCATTTTCAAGTATAGGTGACATGCCGCCTCCAAGGGCATAGTTTGGGAGGCTTAGGGGCTGAAGGCTCCACTTTTGTGATTTCGTTTTTGTGCTGAATGTTTATTCAAGCTGAGGGGTTTATATGTATAGAGCTAGAACTCTTCTTTTGTTGTAACCAAGCAAAGTCTTGGAAAGATGTAAGCCCATAGGGCACCTATTCTGTTGTTAACCTTCAGAGTTACATGCTATAGCTTCAAGATGATCATTTGTGAAAGTGTAATGCATGTAATATCTCTGGTGATATTAACTCTGATGAATAAAAATATAGCATTTCTATTACGTCTATAGATCTTGTGAATGACTGATTTATGTACTTTTTTTAAGAGCGTTACAACTTGGTATCAGAGCGTAAAATTATGTATGTATGTATATATTTAAACAAGGCTTGTTAGGTGTTTTAGCCAATGTAAGTCTAATTTTGAGCTCCAATGGGCTAGCTATTAGGCTAGCTACTTTACCATCTTTTTTTTTTTTTTTTGTGGCTACAATTGAAAAGCCCCAGAGGCTCTCCAAACAATTATGTCAACAGATACTTTTCTTATTGAACAGATAGACATCTTTAATCATATGGTTTACTCACTTAAGGATTCCACAGTAAGCATTCAAAATCGCCAAAATAGGACCCAAAATATAACAAAGAACATGTACGAGGGTCGGGTTATTACACTTTCAATTCTGTTTGATGAATTACGGAATAACTTATTTTGTATTTTGTATTTTGTATTTTTTTTTCTCCTCATTCTACAGGCTTTGTATGTTTGTATGGACAAATTTATTATTATTACAAATTTATATTAGTAAAATATTAACAATTAGTATTTTTTTATTTAAAAAATTAATTATGTTAGTTTAAATGATCAGTTAAAATAAAATGATTGAAAAATACACTAGTTAAATTAGATAAAATAAAAGTATACTTTTTTTTATATTTTAACTAGTAAAAAGTAGAGAGCATAGTTAGAATTGCTCTAATAGTTGGTGATTCAATTATGCGATGCCATAAAAGTCACGACGCCGATTGCTTCATCGTCATTTGCTTTGCCCTTTTGTTTTCAACACTTTAAGCCAGACTTACAAATCGTGGAGGAAGAGAATTAGGTTTTATTATTTACAAACTTCACCCTCTATATTTCATATTATAATTTTCAGCCCCAAAATTTTTTGGACCCTTCGGTCTGAATTGTGTTGTGAATTTAAGAAGATAAAATATGTTAAATAAGTTAATAAGATAAAATATGTTAAATAAGTTAATAAGATAAAATATCATATTTAAATTATAATTATTTATTTTTTTCTTATAAAAAAGTCAAAAAAAATTAAAGTAGCATTTGGTAGAGTTTTATAAATATGATTTGAGAATAGAATTGTATTTTGAGTTTGTAAGTTCTGGAATTATGATTTGGGTGTGAAAAATTTGTTTGGTGAATGAGCTTTGAAAAGAGTTTTAAATTGAGTGAGAAATTTGTGGTGTGACATATGATATCTGATACAGAAATTTACAACTCATAATCAAACACACAACTCAAAAATCTATTAAAAGTTTATAAAAAAATTTAAAAAATCTGAAAATATTGTTTTATTAAACATATAAAAAAATAAACAAATAAAAAAAATTGTCATGTTTCGGTTGACCGGCCGAATAACTAGCAGGATAATCGGTTAAGCCAAATTTCAAAAAAAAAAAAATTGAAAATCCGGCCTAACACAAAGTTTTCTGTTTGTTGTGGAAATATAATTTGAAAATCCTATCCCAACATGGTATTAGAATGTATGGGTAGAATTATAGTTTGAAAATCCTTCCAAACACAGCCTAAAAAGTTCTTAAACGAAACTAATTTAATTAGGTTAAATTAGCTAAAAAATTAAAAAATCATGCTAAAAAAGTTCTTCACCTTAAAGAAACATTGGGCTGGGTCTCTAATATGGGCTACTACTATTACATGATCTACAAATATTTTGAGGCCCTTAGATTTAAGGGCTGGGTCTCTAATATGGGCTACTACTATTACATGAACTTCAAATATTTTGAGGCCCTTAAATTTAGTTAAATTTGGGAGCCTAAGGTGGCAGCCTTGCTCACCTTGGATCAGGGTTGGACCTTTGTCTAAAAGATGGTTCACTCACAATAACAAAGTAAAATAATGTGTATAATGCCAACTGCAAATCCATCTTCTATAATCCTGTTTGTTGTTGTTTTTTGTTTTTGCTTTTGTTTTTTTTATCAAAGGAAAGATATGGTCATAACTAATTCCCAGGCTACCGTCTTTGTTTTGTTTTGGTTTTTTTTTTAATTTATTTATTTATTTTTATTTTTTTGTTTATTTATTTTTTTTTTGTTGTTGTCGATTGATCCAATGTGGTTCATCTCTTAGCCCTATATGAAATGAACAATAGCGGTTGATGGGCATGGCTCAGGAGGGCCCAACCCATGCTTGTTATGGGTTCTTCAAACAATTATTTGATTAATTATTATCATAAAGCCCAGAACAAGTCCAATACCAAGCTTGATAGAAAACCCACAATAGTCAAGTCCAGGCACCAGCTGAACACGTGCCAAGTAAGCTGAACACGTGCCAAGTAAGAGTCCAGTCACGTGACAAACAAAGATTCTTTAAAGTTATTAAATCCACGCACCAAGCATTAAATAAGACTGCCAAGGTATTAAATGCGATAAGACCTCTCACTCTGGAGCATAGTGAAATAGCTATGGCCGACGGCAAGTAGATGGCAGACTTTCGGTCCATGGGACTTAAATGAACAAGGAAATGATTAACAAGAGATATAAAGAAGCTTCCGAGGAACGCTTGGTAACAAGTAAATTACTCTCTCTCTCTCTCTCTCTCTCTCTTCATTCCTCTATGCTTAAATTTCTCTAAATTCTTACCTTTGCCATTTTTTTCATCTAATTTGATCGTCGGAGGGTCCATAGAAATGAACCATCCCTATTTCGGAACCTTCCTACTGGACTTGTTGCAGGTGTGATCAGGAAAACAAAGGACAGCCAACCCGTGGAGTGCTTAGATCAACCCGACCCATACCCTGCCGACCAGACTGCATTATCAGCTGTGATTTTGATGGATGAACCAAATTGCAATAAAATTGAAAGTTCAGTATTCAAATTGTTTAAATTGAAACTATATGAA